ACTGATGGAACACCTTCCATCTGTCCTTCCTTCCATCCATCCTTTCTTTCCTCCTTCCATCTGTTCCATCCATCCATCCAACCATCCTTTCTTCATCATAAACAAAAAGGAGTACTGCTACAGACCCAGCCCAGATTTGCAACGAGCGCATGATTTGTAAGTCTTTCCAGCCCATTTAACCTCCTCTCTCTCCTCCCTGTGCTCCACACCTGCCCTTCTCATGAGCAGCCCCGAGATGAGGTGCCAGATGCACTGTGCAATCCAAGGCTTGCCTCAGCGGGGACTAGGATCAGTTGTCCAAACGTCCTCCGCCTCTGTGATGTAACCCAAGACGGTCATGGAGGCTTCCTCCAGCTCTTGGCGAACTTGTGACATGACCGGCTGACGCACTGCAAGGAAACCCACTGAGGGGGACACATGACTCACAAAGGCTTGAGATTTCCAAAGCGCCTCTAAGTGACATTACCACGAAGCACGCAACAGGCAAGACGGCATCTAGAGAGAGAAAGGTCAGCCTCCCAAGTTAAATGCATTGCCGTGTCATGTGTTGCGTGGGCCACGGATGAAGACTGTGTACTAAAGGAGGTTTGGTTTTAACCCCTGCGGTAGCCACGGACATTGTAGTAATGGTAATTCCCGGGTTGGTAACAGTGGGCACACCACAGAGGCTGAAAAAAGTTTCTCTCTCGAGAAGTGATAAGGTGAGGGATGGCTTAAGTTGCTGTGACCACTCCCATTCTGATCACTGCAGTTTCGTGGCAGGCTGATGCTTTTGGAAAGATTTTTCTTCTAATGCTCTCCTAAAAAAAGTCAGATATGTTGCAACCAGGGGAAATATTAACACCAGCAACATTTGCACAGACGCATAGCATTTCAGAGAGTTTACAGTAAGCCTTACTTCAAAAAAGCACCGTCCTTCCACAGAGCACCAAGGGAGGAGTTGTTGCCATTGCTTTCTAGGTCAGACAGCCCCAGGCTTGAAAGCAATCATCAGTTGTCCTTTGCCTGAATCCCAAGAGGCTGGAATGGGTTTCGGATAAAATACACAGATGTGTGGGCAAGAACCCCACAGCAGGGTTACCGACGGGGCAGGTCTGGGATGGGGTAAGTTTTAAAATGATAGGGAGATGTCAAATGGAGCACCCCTGCAGCTGACGGGAGCTGTGGCTGCCCAGTCCTCCAGAGAGCTGCCAGCAAAAGCATCCCAGGCGGAAAAACTGCAGAGCGATACGTTGGTGGCCCCGAGGACACGTAGATGGCCGCGGTATCAGGTGGGTCTCTCCAGTACCAGTCTCTAGCACCTGTCCCCCCCCCTTTTCATGTGCCTAGTCTGCCGTGACGCAGTCTGACACGGGCATGGGAAAACTGCCCTGGCAGGAGTCTGTAACACTTGTGCAGGAGGCGAAGCCGTTCGGTAAGGAAGGCTTAGGCAGGGCAACCTGGGAGGCACACCGCAGGCGCTCTCGCCAGCGGAAAGAGTTGCGGCCAAAGGTGACTCTGACGGTGGGCGGTGCGGGTGAGGAAGAGCTGCACCAGACGGATGGAGGTGGTGCCAGCAGAAACCATGGAAAGAATGAGGGAGGTTCACTCTCTGAGACAAATTATTTGGGGTGTGTCATCAGGACCCAGCTGCGTGGTTGCCGGACTGGCAATCTACGTCCAGCCGGCACAAGCTGTTGAGGTGGCAGGCTGGTATGTGGCCCCAAGCTTTTCAGTTGCTCAATCATGTGCAGGAGTGAGAAAAACAAAGGGTCTGGAAGGGCTGTTATGAGCTGGGAGTAAGATGAGCAACAGGATAGGTGGAGAAAGCCCAAGCCAAATCAAGACAGTCAGCTAAAATGTTAAGACAGATAGAAAAAAACCAAACAAATCCTGCACAGGCCTGAAAGTGGACTATTCCCCTTAGATTTGCCTGACCCAAATAGCAAAAGACATGATGAACCCCAGGCTGTTGCTGCTACTGCAGTTTAAAACTTCTGCAAGTGCAGCAATGGGCATATGGACCCAAGTGCTGCAGCGGAAAGATGCATCTTAAACTACTGTGGCTGCTCAGGTGCAGAGGGGCTGGCAGCAAGCCGGGCCGGGGTCGAGTCTGAAGCTTTTCGGCCACTGGAGCTCTAGTAATGGGACCTCAAATACACGGGGTCATCATTAACAAAAGCTGGGGTGAGAGGACCGAGTCCCCTTTTGTGACGCTTCTGCCAAGCGGAGCGGAGGAGCGGCAAGGGCAGCGTCTGGGAGTCGGAGCAAAAGCTCGGCCGGGCTGTGCGTGCCTCTGGGCTGAGTCTCCCCGGGGAATCCAGGAAAAGTTTCTGGTGAATGAACAGGGACCGGCCAGAGCAGTTCATGGACAGGCAGGGAAGCCTGAGGGGGGGAAAAAGATGTGTCACCACGTATCCTAACTGGGTCACAGCAAGAACGGAAGGAGGCTCCAAGAATTGATTTTTGCCCCATCTTCCCACTGGGAAAGGCTGCACTAACAAGGCTGTGGCTGGGGTTGCCATTAGCTGTCACCAGTTACCCGGCAGAACAGGTTCCTGTGTGACAACAGGATTACAGGAGAAGAGAGGAAGCGAAAAGCTGAAGAGCAGCTAATAAGGGCCCCGTGACACAGGGTTAACCCAGTTAACCGGGAATGACCAACGATCTCTTTCTAACTTGATGCCGAAGGGAAACACGAAAGACCAGGTGGACCAGGGAAAAATTTGTACCGACCAGACCCACCTTAAACATTGACTGACCCGCACAGAGGACTGAATAAGGACTGATCTGTAGCACTGCCAAAAACGCGCGCTTAAGTTATCTCAGAAGATGGCAGAAGGTAGCCACGGGCTACCTGCACAGACCCAGCACCTCGTGCATAAACGCTACAGGATAACCCAGTGTTTGAAAAAGATGGGCAAGATATCCCATGGTCAGATCAACACAGGCTGTTCTGCAATAGACCTCAAGTCAAAGAGCAAGACCCAGCTTGCCTGCAGCCATAAGGACGTATGCAAAGGGCATCCCTTATATCTCTACATTGCCTTACTTGATCTGGAAGATGTTCTTTGATCAATGTCGCTTAGTCAAGCTTTCCTCCTGAGAAGTGGCGATGAGCAAAGCATCACTTGCTTTGGCTGAGCAGGCCTGGGTCCTGACTGTCCTTCATTTGCCTGCAGGCTTATGGCGGGCAGAAATGACATTGTGGCTGCAGCGTTGGGAAGCTGGTGGTGTACCTGCAGAGAAACCACGAGAGCAGTGTGTGCTAGAAGGTCTGTAGTGAACGCAGTGGAGCGAGCAGCACAGAAAGAAACTCAATTCCAGGCTGTAGCCTTGCAACCAGAGCTCACGGGCAGCAGCCTGGAGCACCTGGGCTCCGCTGCTGTGCGCTGCTGGAGCAATCTATCATGTGTAATGTCAGTCTGCTCGGATCACACCTTTGTTTTGCTAGGTAGACATCCCTCCTCCTCATCACCTCGTGCACTCCCCATTGGGGAGGGAAGTGCAATGAAAGCTGGCAGATTCTGGGCAGAGCTGTTTCATCACACCCCAGGTCCGCCTGACCACACCTTTGCAGTGGTTGGTGCTTGTCAGAGGAAAGATAGCAGAGAAAGTAAGTCCAAGCCAGGAAGCAAGTATCAAGCTGGGGAAGAAGCAGAGCTATCATTTCACGAGACTCATCTTTTCCAAAGGAAGGGGTATAGGCCACACGGCCAGGCCAGAGCACTCCGGCAAGCCTTTCCCACCTTGCCTCCCAGCCCCAACTACAGGGACCCTCCTCAGGTCCCATTCACAGCCCCCCTGTTCTCCAGACACACTCCAACAGCTACATTCCCAAAGACCACTGCTGGCCCAACGACTTGCTGCACCCGGCCTCCTTCTGCCGGATTGCTGCGCGTTGTGTGGACGAGCTCACGTGTTCCCTTTTGTGGCATATCACAGACTGGCTTTACTCAACAGGATGATGCAAGGCAGATTTAAAGTCCTGCTACCTACAAGCTCAGCTGAAATTTGTTACTGGACAACACACAGCAGAAAAGCAAGGAAAGCCACTTCTGAGAATAAGATCCCCCCTTTCATTTGCTTGATCTCAGGAGCTTCTAATACAGAAAGGCAGTTTAAGGACAGAGGGAAAGAGCCAGTTTATGCCTCCACAAGGGCCTCTGGCTGACTGAGAGCTTCTGAAATAGCACTCTCGCTTTGTGATTTCTCAGGTCCCACCACTCTTCCTTACAAAGATCCCATTGCACAGATCAAGAGATCAGAGGTCTCATACCCATAAGCACCAAGCAACGCAAGCCGACACAACTCCCATGGACCTCTGGCAAAGGCCGGGAATGATGTAAAGGTTCTGCTTTTTCTTTTTTCACATCTTGTGAAGTGTGAGAAGTGATGGGATTAACAGGGGCGATTCAGATGCTGCAAGAATCCCTCCTGTTCACCAGGAGCCACGCTCAGGGTGCAGCTAAACCCAGTGGACTATCCTATCATTATTTTAGACCAATGAGGTATCTACATTAAGCCCAAACTGAAAACCTCTCCTTCCCCTGCTCCCAGCTGTATGAAAGACACTATGGCAGAAACACGATGGGGAGGACTGGAGTCCTGGTACTGGTTTCTGAGGGACCCTTCTTCCTGTAGCTACACTCATACCCTGAGCTGCCACATGTTATGGCGTTCAGCTGCAGAGACTGATCAACTTGTGCTGCCGCCTCCCTGCTGTAATCCAAAACATACCCAGCACAACTTTCCTGAGGGTATGGATGAGCTGAGATCCATGCTGCTGTCATGCAGTACATGTTGGATAGGCTGTGCTAGGAGCTGCACTCCTTTTTCCTTTAAGTTGTCCCCCAATTACGCCAGCTAATAGCTATGTTCATTGGAACTAAGGTGCACTGATACATATTATTAGCAATACTATGGTTTCTCTCTCCAGAAATAACTGCTGGGGCTTCAAACATTCTGCTCAGCCAAGCCATGCCAAGTTTCACTTTAATCAAACCACACAGACATTTTGACTTTGTCTAGAACTTTTATTTCAAGGAGTAGAATTGTTTTAAGCATATTCACAAGAATAAATATAAAATTACTCTTCAGAGTAAGAAGATGAGTTTTTATAAAAATATATCTCTATCCCACAGAACCACTTAGGTGGGGTTCTCGCTAGGAAATATTATTTAATAAAAAAATAAAACACTGAAAATAAAATGCTTGACCTATACTGATTGGATCACCAAACAATTGAAATTTTTAAAAGGATATAAATATTGTAAATATTGTTAACAAAAATAACATTTAAATAGATGGAAAGCCACTGACTCCATGCAGATGAATGGAACGCTGTAGGAAGCCACCGTTTCTTCTACAAGGCACCAACTTCCTTGTATTCACTGGCGTTCGTTTGTCTCTTCTTGCTTCGGTACCTGGAAGCAGAAAAGAGAAGTGTGAGTTCTGGAAAGCCAGTTGTTCCAAATGGCTTTTGGGGGACTGAAGGGAGGGGGGGTGAAGGAAGTAAAAAAAAAAAAAAATGCTGTATGACCTCCTCACATTTGTTTTAAACCTCTAGCAGCTAGGCTCTGTCTCTGCTCATTTCCAGGTCTGAGATAACTTGCATGCAGAGTCTCATTTCTCAACTCTTCACTGAAGATTTCACATCTGCATTAAAGTCTTGCTGCTGGTACTAGGTTTGTCTTTGAGAAATCCTGCTGGATCCTTCCCTGCCACAGGGCTGAGTACTCTAACCAACTAGGCCATCTTCTGTTTGAGATGATGCACCATCGAGTCTCCAGGTAGGGAAGAGCAATTACAGTGGTTACCATCTAGTTGTCAGATCTGTGAAGCTGAGCTCTCCCTCTGGGGGTTGTGCCACCTTCTAGGCTCTCTGACAGCTGCTTAGGATTAGTTATTAGCCTGAAGAACAACTCCTGCTGCTTGTGGGTCTGTTAATGGAGAAGACTACTGTCCTCCATGGTAAAGTGGATAAGGCAATGCTCGTGATATCACAGTCACCACAATAACACGGCAGATAAACAAATTAGCTAGTATTAATCCAGTTGCTCTCTGGTTTCTGATGACTGGCGCAATGGCATTACCGAGAAAAGGAACTAGAATTTTCCTACTCCCTGTCTTCTCTCTCCTTGACCTCAACAGACCCCCTAAGACGGACTTTAACCAACCTATACAGTCCTCCATCAGGGTTAAAAGGCATATGAAGGTGCTGTTGCGTAGCGTGTAATTTGCGTTATGCTACGCAGTCAGCATGCTTCCTTTTTTTGAACACTTCACTAAATGCAGGCTAGCAGATCTGTATATCAAACTATGTCCACGCAGTCAAGTGAGTGTAGGTATCCCAGTCTATCTGGAGATACTCAGCGGACATCTTACTACACATACAGCTGACTCCCCTTCCTGAGCCTCGAAGAAAATCCTTCTTACCTTCTGCAGATGTAGTAGCTTGCAATAGAGACGGCAGTGAGGAAAAGTAGAACTATGATAACTGTCAGTGCCACATACTCCTTACTGAGGGGTTGTCTGACAAGTTCTGAATGCACACATCGGACGCCAGAGAAGCCTACGTCACACCTGAGGATAAGAGACACAGAATTAGAGGCATCACTGTGGGGTTACACTTTAGCAGTCCACAAAGCATGCTATACTGCTGGTCTGCTGTTTCCTCAGGGAAAAGCTATTTGAACTGATATAACTCAAGCCCATGTGGTCCTAGAAATGGTTGCAAATTCTTCAGGTAAAGGAGGAATACCCTTAAAAGTGCACAGAGGCTCATTATTTTGTAGGCTGAATCAAAGGGGAGACTTTGCTACTTTGCCTGAGGTCTGGATCTCACAGTACTGTAAATACAGATGAACAGGGAAGCACATCGGAATGAGTGTTCCAAGTTTAAGTTGGGTTGGTGACTAATTTCAGGTGTTTAAGACTCTCACTCAGGTTTCACTGGAGCCAGCACACGTGCTTAACCCTTGCTTAAATACAGCTGAGGTATATTACAGATACACTGCTCCTCTTTAAGTTCTTGTGAACATTTAAATACTTTGCTGGATTGGTGTTCCAGCTAAGTGTCAACAGCAGCGAGGTCAAAGGCGACACACAGTTCATCTCAAAGCCCGCCTCAGGGAGGTCTGCAGGACACATTGCGCCCTGTCCATACCTGCAATAGTGCTCATCCAAGTCCACTATGTACACACACTGTCCATGGAAGCAGTAGTCCTTCATTTCAGGCTTGCATCTAGTTATCCCGACTTGAGCCACACGTGGACTGTTCTCTGTCTGGACTGCAAGGAGATTTTGTTAGCATCTCATCAGTCTTATTTCCCCTTTCTATTTCCCAAGCAGCATACAAGCTTTACAAGTACAACTAACAGTCTCCCTACCAAGAGACCTCCAGCGCAGTAGGCATTAAAGCAGGTGAGCATTCTGAACAGGGAGAGCATTCTCCTAGGCCAGAGTTATATTGGCTTTTCCTTCAGGAGTTCCACACAAGCTATTTCTGCTTTTATAGCCGAGTTCTCACCTCAGACAAAGCTATTCTGCTGAAGAAGCAATATTCAAGGAAATGCAGGCTAAAAACTGCTTCGTGTTCAACAACACCGAGCACTTTGCAGGACGCTGGCAATGTTGCTCAACAGAAAAATTATTTCCAAGGGTACCTCAGTGAGTCCATCAGCCCAAGGAAGATAGGAACCAAAGACTTTTTAAATGACAAGAGAGCTGTGCAGTACACTTACTTAGTGCTGTTGTGCAGTTCTCCATTTCACCAGGCCCACATAATGGGATCACTGTTGTGCCCAGGACTCCTTGCAATAGGTAACCTATAAGAGAATAAAAAGAAGAGTCAAAACTAGATGCTTTTCAAGTACAGTTAAGTATTTCAGCTGGAGTACTCATGAAGTTAATACAAGAACAGAAGTATTTTATCTTAGTAGTAAGAAGAAAAAATATAGGTCTGAGAGATCTGCTGCCTATATTATATAAGGCAGCCCTGAGAAACATCTCTGAAATACAAATGTAGAACAGATTTCAAACAGAAACTTGCTGTCTGTGACCACCCCTCACCCACACTCTGAGTGAAACTGGGCAGGAACAGGCTTGGAGAGATTACACAGGAGAGGCAGAAATTAGGCCATCGCTGATTATGTTAGCTTTCTGACTAGTCTGGTATGGCACCTCTGCAAGGGACGCAGCCAGGGCTCCACAATTAGGCATGACAATCCAGCATTCATCGCAGGAGGAGTTCTTTTGGTGATCAAAATCAAGATGTCCTTGAGTCACAAGGGTCCACAGGGAGAGAATTTCCTAGGACTCAGCAAGTCAGCGCAGCTGGTGACTCAGCACACCAGGTCAGCACTGAGCCAGGCTTGGTGCCCCACCACTGGTTTCCAAGACCACATACTGCTCGAGGTAGGCTTAACGAAAAAGCTGCTCTTTAACAGCAAAGAGCTTCCTCAGCCCTGTACTTGCTGTAACCAGCCTGAAAAGCTGGACAGTTCCTGCACTAATACACACTCTCGTGTTGGAGTTTTTCAGTTAAAAGACCACTTGCAAAGACAGCTAACACAAGATATCAAACCCCCTTCGTCCGGTCACTCGGTTGGAGAGGTTACTGACCACTTTACGGATCCTGGCCCAGTGTTAACTTACCTCAGCAGAAGCCCAGAAGAAAATGGGTACATTTCTGTCCTTCCTTCACTATCCACACTAAAGAAAACTACAGCTCTGCAGGTTTGATGTGGGTACCAGACATAATAGGAGACTGCACCACACAGGCTGAGGAGTTTGGGTACTGCAGCCGTGGCTGCATTTCCTTGGGGGGCAAAGGCCCTCCCTTCTTCCCTTCTCTCAGAGATTCAGTGTATAAAGCATTTTGACATCTTTTGGGCTGTACAGTGCTGCACAGGCACAGCTTTCAGGTACCCTACTAGTTAAATGAACATTTCCAAACAGGATTTGAAGGCCAACACAAGTCCTTGTAACTTCATGGCTAGCCCATGAGGAACAGTCAATGTTTGCCCCAGCTGGCCATGAAATCCACTTGGCTAACACTCCTGCTGTGGTCACAAACTAACCTGCTCATGAACTGCTTAGTCATCAGCCCCATTCCACGGAAGTCTGTAATTTGTGTCTTTGGGCTGTTTGCCTCTATTAACTTGTCAGGTCATGCATGTCTAATGGAGGGAGTGTGCCTTCATAATTTCTTGATCACTCTAATTCAACTCCAGTTAATAGAAAGTTTCATTACATCTCAGAGTTAAATCTAGTAGTGATTGATGGATTTCCTGCAGCTCATCTATTTCTGGGTGATCAGCAGGCTTTCTTTAAGCTTTATTCCAGCTAGATACAAGAACAGCAGGAATATCCATCTTAGAGGGACAGGACGTTTTTGCATGTGTGTTTGTGCTTCTTTAAAAAACACCATTCCTTCTCCTTACCTTCCTCTCCACCACACTGCTTGCAAAGCTAATAAGCCAGGTTGCCACCAAGCTTTAGAAGAGAGGACAAAGACTAGGTCTACCAAAGTGAGAGCCACGGTATCAGACCAACGATGCCCATCTTGACTTGTACAGGAGACTAAGCTGGAGACATCTGCGCCTGCTAGCATGACTCAGCAGGACCTGCCTTTCACTCCAATGGGGCAGCACCAGCAAGTTTACTTACAGGGTGGGAATTTTTTTTTTTTTTTTAAAACAGCACTGTGCTCACTATAGATTTCATCAGGAGAAGCAGTTGAACACTTCTGTGAGGCCAATTTGAGTTGCCACAACAGACAGTTAAAGTGTTTGAAGGATGAGGCCATCAGCTGACAGACAGCGACAGCTCAGTTACTGCCAGAACAGCAGGCTTTGAACTTCAACCAGGGACCCGGTGTCCCAAATGATGCTGGGAAAAGAAGATTTACCGAGTCCGTCCTTCTTCCCAGGACCTAGACGGCCATTTTAAAAGTGCTCTATGGACTAAACTGCTCCCTCGGCAGGGAGCAGCTGCGGCACAGGACAGCTCTGTCCCACTGAGTATACACCATGTCATTCCAAGTAGCAATGCTGAAATCCTGAGACTAATGAGAGTTAGTGACCTGAGGCTCCCTCCTGTTCCCTACGTACTGCTGCTATCAACTCCGTGTGACATGCTACGGCAAGATTTGGTCTCGGGGCCACATGATAATAATGAACATAAGTCAAGGCAAAATATGCTACAGGTACCTGATGTATCCACTTCTATTGTACTTAGTTAAGTAGATGGATTAAGCCAGCTGATGATCTCTTTTAGCCTACATATGTTTCTGCTTGCATACTTCCTTGATCCCAGCATAATTTGAGCAGTTGCTTTTTAATCTAAAGTTCCCTGTTCAAGAGTTACCAGAACCTGGCTTTTGCATCTGAGAAACTCAAACCTAGGTACATGGAAGAGACTGATCAGCTCTTCTCTGTGCTTGAGAAGGAGGCACTGCTTTCCAGCTAGAGGAAAGGCCAAAACTCAGACACCTGTGAGGGATAAATTAAAAATAACGTCCTCCTACCACACCGAACAGAGGCTTGCCCCATTCCAGCCATGTGCAACAACCAATAGCCTCCTCCGCCTGACTGCAGACACACAGGCCGGAAAGGCTGGAGCACAGGCGTGGATATTTGCTGACACCCAGCAGTATTTTCTGTGTTTGGGCAAAGTTCTTCCTGCTCTGCACTGTTATATTTTGCCCTTTCCCCCATGCGCATACTTATCCTCTGACATCAAGGGGAGGGGGATCCTGCAGGAGGATAAGGGATCCACACACTGCAACAGCAAAGGAGAACCTTTCCCAGAATAATTATCAGATGAGGTATACTAAACATAGGACCTGGGAGAGGTAGTTATATTTTTATTCCTTTGCTGTTCACTAAGCAAATACTCTACAGGCTACAAGATAACAGTAATGAGATGGTGGATATTCATGCGTGCCTCGCAAGAATGCGAGTGCTACGCTTACTGCTACAGCACTAGCATGCACGCGCAACACCGTCCGGTACTGTGGGAGTTCCTGTCAGGTTAACACTGACAGCAGTGGCTATTACCAGAACAGGAATAATGCTGCTGTTTACTCGTCCTTCCACAAAAGATGAAAGGAAAATGAGCGACAGAGACTGGCTGCCTTAGCTTCCTGCAGCCTTCATCAGAGATGACATGCAAGGGCTAATTATCAGTTCATCCACTGAAAGCCAGCTATAGTTTACAGTTACAGGACAACTGCTAAGGAAGAAAGATGCGCATAACTGTGAACTAGTCTCTTTGCAAGACTTACACCCATTTTAAAGGGGAATTGAAAGGTTTCGGAAAGGTCAATCATCACTTGAGTTGTCTTTGCCTGTCACTGAGATCACTAGTCTTGTCCTAGTTCATCTGAAGAAGACCCCATGATGCTACTTCACATGTGGCATCTCTGTGGTCTCTCTGCCACAGTGGTAGTGCCTACACTTTTCACATAGGTTGCACTTTCAAAGCAATGCCAAGCACAGAAGTGTCCAGGTGACACACACCTGGAGGATCTCAGCCCATTTTTAACTCTAGAGACAGATCAAGGTGGATCCCCGTTACCTGATCTTGGACACCCAGACCATGTCTGACTGTCTAAGGCCTTCTTTGTACAGACTAAGCAGGAAACATGGAAGTTAGCCAGTCTGTCCTATTGGCTTTATGAACACCGTTACTACCACCGTTTAACTCTGGTGCATTGCTCTCCGCATTTCTCTGCTGCTAGTCTCCCTAGCTAGCCACAGAAGTTTGCAGGCCACCTCAGACAAAGCACACACCTCTGGCCACAAAGGCTAGGTGCGTGGTTGTGTTTTAGATGAGGATCACAGAAATGTAGAGTTAGCCATGAAAGCCTTGCAAACAGCTTACTCTTATTCAAGATTTGGCTGTGCAACTATACGCCTTGCTCACATCACTCACAGCATCTCTAGAGTTCAGGTTACCTATGCAGACTAAGTATTTTTTCCTGGGACAGGGAAAATGGTCATTCGAGATAATTTTAACCACCTCAGACAAAGCACACCTCCCCATCCTTGCACTCAGGATACATCATCTGGCTGCTTCTTCATGTTTTGGGTAGGATGTATGCAGTGCCTAGTTGCCTGACTATGCCCATCGAGGCAGGTGCCCAACACTCTTCCTCCTGAAATATGACATACAAGATGTATGGGTTGCTCTTCTCCCCCATGTGAAAGGAGACGTTATCAGCCCTTTCCACCCCTCATCCCCCTGCAGTCTATATGTGTTTGGCCTATTGTCTAAATGGAGGCACCAGATGCGATGGTACTGAGAGATACGCTCAAATAAACTACCCTTATGGCAACTGGACAGAAGTATCTGTACATGTTTCTGGGAAGTAGCGTCCAGGCTCCCCCATCTCACATTTTGTACCCATGGCTTCAGAACTGCCGACTCAAAGTCATGGATGCCCGGGGCCAGGCCAGAGCAGCTCTAAGGCAGCCCTGGAAACACTAGCCTCTATGGGAAGACTATCGCTCCAAAATAGCTACAGGCCCACGTGATCATCTTCAACGTTGTGCCAGGACTTACCCTTAAGCAGAGATAATGCAGATAATTACGTATTATGTGCACCCAGTCATCCCAGTACTGCTTCCACCCCTGTGGAGACCTACACACCAGTAAACTTACTCACGTGCTACCCCTGTGCCTGGGCCCCTCTGCATTCCACGACATGCGTGGGGGCAGAGGTCCCTACACCACAAAAGAAGCAGAAATCCATTACTGCTTCCAGCCAGACACATCAGCCACTGACATTCTCCACATCTCCAGACCCAAGGACCTTCATGCTCAGCCCACTTGCTGATGGCCAGACAAATGTGATGCAGGAAAACATATGATCACCAGCTCCTGAAGCTGTCCAGTGAATCTGGAGATCCAAAGCCTGCCTTCCCCACTGAGTGGGCATTACAGTAACTGCAAGGGGACCAGTGCCAAGGCTCCTGCAGTAACTCATGGAAAAAGCAGGGCCTGGGCTTGGCTGCATCACCGCCACATCACCATTTGGCTGGCACAGCACCGTGGCTCCTCAGGGGTGAGCGATGGCTCTCTCCCACCACTGCCTTTCTGCTGCACAGTCACCAAGCCCACGATAGCGAGGATATGAAGCTGGCAATGACTGTCACTTCAGTTAGGCTTCAGCCATTCAGCAGAGAACCTCTTAAAGTCTGACAAAATGCCAGCTACAGACAGTCTTCCCAGCTTCTGCTTACACTACAGACCTGGGAGGGTAAGGCAGCAAAGTGCTCCTACAACTCCTTATGATACCATCTAGCTATGACTAATCTATCCCTTAGTATTAGATTTTGTGCCTGCCCCGGAAATAAATAAATCCATATACAAATCCATAAAGACCTACCAGTTCCTTCCCAGTTTTGTGCAGTTCCCAGCCAGTTTTGTGCAAAGCATAGCTGAGTCACAGACAAGATCTTTAGCCCACTGAGCATAGCTGAGTCACAGACGACAAGATATTTAGCCCGCTGTCCTGGCAAGTAAGATGCTGTGCAGCAGCTGATCCATAAGCTATTACGGAAATACCTGGCCAAGATAAAAGACAGAAACTCATGCTGCAGTGGGCTTAGCAGATAAGGGAACACCTGCTCCCAGAGAAGTGTTGGGAACTAAGCTTCCCTGTCGACTGTCACCCTGAGCCCAACATCATGAGTGTGAGAATATGCTTTGCCATTAAAGCAGCGTGTGAGCACGCCAGGTCTCGGTCCTGCCTCAAACTTTTGCTGCCCACACAGTTTGAGTCACCTCGCAAGGTCAGCTCTCAGCAGTCACTGCCAGAGCCCAGCAGAGGTGTGTGGCAAGGATCAGTTGTTGGTTCACAGCACACCCAGGCTCCAGGACTCTCAATGCTCTAAGGACACACGTGTTCACTTTGGACTTTCAGGTAGCTTATGTCATGCAGTAGAATAACACGCTGCCAATGAGAAGATGGAGAAGTGTCAAGCAGAGGGAGGCCACAACTTGTTTTGTTACCATAAGGAAGTCTCTGCTGCTGTGGGGATTCACCTGCTGAGCTCACCCAGAGCACGGCCTGGGTGAAGGCAGCAGGACCAGACCACAGACAAGACAGGACAAGGTGGAAGAGAACAGACTGCACTGCCTTGAGCAGACTGTGCTGCGAGCAGAGTTGGGGAGAAGGGGAACGAACATTCACCACCGCTCAGTCAGAGGGCACACCTGAGCATCGCCCAAGCAACAAAACGTCCCATGACAGCACGCCACGGAGCGAGACCCGTGTGCTCCGCTCCTCAGCTCATACAGCCGCCCAGGTACACACATCCCTGCCCATGACTTCATCTCAGAGAAGAAACGCATTGGCTTCACCCGAAGGCAGGCTGAGCTTTACGTTTTGCCAGAGGTTTTCCAGCAGCTACTGAATGCCCCAGCCCCGCCACTCGGCAGCGCCCGATCCCCCCCCAGCCCCTGCCCCGGGGTGGGGGGCAGAGGAGCCGGCTGCCCCTCGGAGCGGGACGCAGCGGCTCGCCGCGGCCCCCTCCCCCGCCCCGACCCGCGGAGGGGAGACACGACGACGGCACTCACCGAGGAAGAGCAGCAGGCTGCGGCCCCGCAGACAGCCGGCGTCCATCGCCCTCGCGTCCCCGTGGAGAAGAGAGGAGGAGGAAGAAGAAGAAGAGAGCGAGCGAGAGGAGGGAGGCAGGCGGCTGCGGCGGAGCGGCGGGAGCGGTGTGGGTGCCGGCCGCGCCGCCCCGGACCTTTATGGGCCGGGCGGGAGAGGCGGAGCGCCGCTCGCCAGTGATGAAACCCCGGCTCGGCTCCGGGCAG